TGGATTTTATGATTTCTTAAAATTTACAATAATTAATAGCGTAAAAATTAAGTTATTGTGGTACAAGATTTCAGACTGCATAAATTCACAAAAATTATTTTCACAAAATAGATTTTTAGGCAAATTTGCAAAATTTACAGCCTTCAAAAAATTTGAGTTATAAAGGTAGCTCATGATTTTTTCTGAAAAATGGCTCCAAAATCTCCTCAAACTTTTATTACATTTTCTAATACATATTGATGTCCTTATGTCTTGTAGAAAGTTTGAGCTGATTCTGACTTCCATTTCTTGAATTAGGGCCATCTATTAAAATTGGCTAAAATCAGGAAAATGTACTGTACCATGGTTTTTACAGAAAAATGGCTCCAAAATCATCACAAATTTATTACATTTTCTGATACACATTGATGTCCTTGTGCTTTGTAGAACGTTTGAGCCGATTTTGACTGATTGACTAGAGATGTTCCAAGAGATGCAGTATATCTTAAATGTTAATGATGCTGCTATTTATCAAGAAACATAACTTATGAAACAGTAAAAACAAACAATATACAGTCATTATTATAGTTTAATATACCTTTACCCAAGAATATAGTGCTTGTTTGTTATGCTGTATTCATGATGCTACTCATAGTTTTAGTCTAATATAGTGTAACTTTTATGATGGCAAGAGTGTTATTCTTTCAATGTCTTTATATCAATTCTAATGCTTGCAGTGTGTTTACTCTATTGATGTTATCTAATCATATACGACACAATATTGTATAAAGAAAATTATTAGTGACACTCTAACCTCATTGAGATCTGGTCTGCTGAGCACTGCTTACTGAGTGAATATTAATGGGTACTTATACTTTTAGTATTTTCCTAATTTTTGAGCCAAGCAGGCAACCTGGTGATGATCTTTATTGTTTTCCTCCTGTTTTTGTCAGTCGTAGATCTAAATTTTACTTGCACCAGAATTCAAATTTGCGATGATAAACCCTTTAACACTACAATACTACAGTACATGATGTTAAACTTTAACCTCATGTAGTATTGTTGGTGTTTATTCTAAATGATGTAGGCCTAATCACACACAAAGGGAATGAGAGTGGGCTCAACCAAACTACACTGCATTCAGTTCGAATCAATTGTAGACTGTAGATCTATTTACAAAACCAGCTGATGAGCTATCATAACAGTTTCACGTGTATGCATGATTTGATAAACAATAGATCTATGATTAAACACATTTCTTTGTCAATTGTCAATATGGTTTCACTACAAGTGCTTGTCTTCTTGTTGAGTGTCAGTGAAGTTATTGGTCAATCATGTCCACCTTCCTCAGGTAAGACACTGGATGTGTATAACAACTGTATAGGTTTTTATAGGTATCTACCTGAGGTATGATGGAAACTGTTATCCTAATGGATCATATTTTTGGGATAGTAGCATTAGACCAACTCCTATAGAGTGTGGATTACCTGGTGCTACTCTGAATGGTGGACAATGGATTGGTCCAAATGGAACAGTTCCTTGTGATGGTGGTAACAATGCAAATGTTCAATGTACTACTGGGTCAGCTGCTAACCTCAGTGTTTTCATAAATCCAGATAATGGCTTTATTGGGGCAGATGGTGATGGCTGGTACAAGTGTTGTCTACCCACTGATTGTTCAGATCCTAACACTAACATCATCTTTGCTAATATATTTAGTAAGAGGAGACTATAATCACTTACTGTTGTAATAATTTTCATTTGTAGGATTTGCAGAGATAGAATCATTTATTGCTGATCTTCCTTCTGATATGACAGTATATCCTCAGGAATACAAACTGAATTGTACTAAAACTGGATTCCATCAGTATGCTATTGATATGAGCATTGGTGGTATTACACTGACTGATTACCCTGGATCATTTTGTAATGATGATGGTAATACTTGTTCTGGTACTGAGTTAGTTAGTAGTAATAACACAATAAGATATACTGTTAATATCACATGGGATGGAATGAATGTCAGTAGTGGATCAATCAGTCAATCAACCACTGGAGATCAAATGTATCAGTGCAGGGTAGCAGATCATCCTGATAGTAGGGAAACTAGAATACGTAATGTAACTATAAAAGGTAATGTCAATGAATGCTAATAATTCTTGTTACCAATAATATTAGTACCAGCAACTGCTCCCTCTTCTCTTACTGAGGTCAACAAGACAACTACCACTATCACTGTCAGTTGGACTGCACTTGATTCATCTGATGCTGATGGATATGTAGTCAATATCACTAGTGACACAGACACTGTGCAGACAGTACAGGTGGAGGGAAGTAGTAATAATACAATCACACTGAATGGACTGAGAGGAGGAACAACTTATAACATCACAGTCACAGCCTATCAGCAATTACTGGGACCTGCTAGTAGTACAATCAGTGTTTTCACTCATTGTCAGGAAAAAGGTGTTTGGTTTAATATAATTTATCACATGACTATAAGTATTGATTTATAGGTATCTATTTAGGAAATAATGGAAACTGTTATACTAATGGATCATTATTCTGGGATAGCAGAGTCAATGCAGTTACTGAAGCTATATCATGTGTGTTACCTGGTACTAGTCTAACTACTGGTCAGTGGGTTAAAGTTGCTGATCCTGATGATCTTGTTGACTGTAACAGAAATAATGCCAGTGATCCTATTCATTGTACTAATGTCACTTCACCTGATGCTACTCTCAATCTTTATCTTGCTCAGAGACTAGTAGCAGCTCAAGCAGGCTTGTACAAGTGTTGTCTACCCACTGATTGTTCAGATCCTAACACTAACATCATCTTTGCTAATATATTTAGTAAGAAGAGACTATAATCACTTACTGATGTAATAATTTTCATTTGTAGGATTTGCAGAGATAGAATCATTTACTAATGATCTTCCTTCTGATATGACAGTATATCCTCAAGAATACAAACTGACTTGTACTAAAATTGGACACCGTTCTTATGGTATTAGTATGAGCATTGGTAATACTGCACTGGTTAATTACACTAATTGTTATGATCCTAAAATTAATTGTAATGGTACTGAGTTAGTTAGTAGTACCAACACAATAAGATATACTGTTAATATCACATGGGATGGAATGACTGTCAGTAGTGAATCAATCAGTCAATCAACCACTGGAAATCAAATGTATCAGTGCAGGGTAGCAGATTATCCTAATGGTAATGAAATTAGAATACGTAATGTAGCTATAAAAGGTAATTCTATATATCTTTAAAATTCTTATTACCAATAATATTAGTTCCAGCTACTGCTCCCTCTTCTCTTACTGAGGTCAACAAGACAGCTACCACTATCACTGCCAGTTGGACTGCACTTGATTCATCTGATGCTGATGGATATGTAGTCAATGTCACTAGTGACACAGACACTGTGCAGACAGTACAGGTGGAGGGAAGTAGTAATAATACAATCACACTGAATGGACTAAATACAGAAACAACTTATAACATCACAGTCAGAGCCTATCAACAATTACTGGGACCTGCTAGTAGTACAATCAGTGTACAGACTTTATCTACAGGTATTGCTACTGCACCTTTTAATATACTAGTGACATTGTTGATGCATTTCTAGTTATTAATTCAATCAATTGGACACTATTCTCATCCATTACACAACTCAATAATACTCAATATCGTATTGATTGTCTCACAACTACTGATATAAATCCTTCAACTGATGTTTACTGGTTAGTGAATGGAGTGATGAAGAGTAACTCAATGTATACATCAATTGATGTCCTGACATATAACAACACACTACTGGTATATCCTGATCCACTGGAAGTGTCAGTTAATGTTACCTGTATAGCAATGGTTGGAGGAGTCAACTACAGTCAATCTGTGATATTACATGGTATATATGATTAAACTTTAATCAATAGTAGATACCTTTGTCTCTTTTCTAGCTCCTAGTGGTACTCCAAATAATGTGAGAGGGTTTATATTAAGTGCTACTAGTATCAAAGTGAACTGGACCACTTCATCAGAGACTAATGGATATTTAATTGAGTATACTACTGGAGGTGTAACCAGGAATGTACTATCTACCAGTGAAGATGAAATTGTACTAACAGATCTCTCACCAATGAGTATCTATACCATCAGTGTGTACTCATATATAGATCTTCCTTCAGTTAATAGTACAGTAACAGTGTTAAGATTTGATGGTGAGTTATTATCATTGAGAGAGTGTAATTGATATTTGTTGTAGTTCCTAGTCCAGTAACTAGTCTCTCAGTATCTAACGTCTCAACCACTGGTATTACAGTGAACTGGACTATTCCCAGTAGTGACAACTATGTAACATACTACACCATCTCCTATACTCCATCTTGTCCCCAGTTATCATCAGTGAATGAGACAGTCTCTGGTGCTCCTCATCAGTCCACTACAACATACAGTTATACATTAATAGGTCTGTACAGTGGTATGAACTATACCATCACAGTGAGAGCTGGTAACTTACTAGGTAGATCTGATCCCCATTCAATTGATAAAGATACAATATCATCAAGTGGTATGTATTTTGTATATAAATGTAATTAACTTTTTATTATCTACATATAGTTCCTATTGGTGTACCTGATTATTTGACTTTAATACCAGCTAATAATAATCTCACTTGGAATGAGGTTAATTGTTCTGAGCGTAATGGTCTTATCACAGGCTATACAGTGATGATCAGTAACAGTAGTATCACATACAACCTCACCAGTATTGAGAGATATAGCATATTGAATGATCTAGTGTTTGGTACTGAGTATAACATCAGTGTAGCTGCTGTCAATTCTGTTGGAAGAGGTCCCTTCAGTGATCCTATTGAAGTAGAGATTGGTATAGGTATGTAATTATTATACTATATCAGTTCTATGAGAATGTGTCTTTATTTAGTACCTGGTCCAGTTGGTTCAGTATCCAGTATCATGGACACTACATGGGCTGTTATCTCATGGAGTGTACCTAGTTATATTCCATCAGACTATCCCATTATCACATATGAGATAGGATATCATATTCTTTTTAACAAGTGTTGCTGTTCAATGGTAGATGATGATGACATTAATATTCAAAGGCTACAACTCTCCAATTCAACTAATGCCAATACCTATATCAACATTACTGGTCTTGATGCTATGTCTTGTTATATTTTTGGTGTAAGTGCGTACACAACCAGAGGACCTGGTGGATGGGTCTTCATTGCTAATGAGACATTAGTCAGTACTCAATTTGTAACACTAACACTAGTAATTACTCAAGAAGTAGAATCAACTAATACAGGTATGATAATTACTCAAGAAGTAAGATCAACTAATACAGGTATAATAATAATAAATTCTAACACAAGAATTAAGCAATCTTTTATTAATACATGTAGTTTCAGGAACTGTTGATGGTTTTATTATTGCCGGACTGGGTGCAGTGGTTGGATTATTGTTGATATCACTAGTTGTTAGTATCATTATTCACATCTACTGCTTTATCAAGTATGAATGCATACATGTTGTATATGCAATCTAATGTTGTTTGTGTACAGGCTTAAAACGTATGATACAACCACTGCTAAGCAAGCAAAGTAAATAAACAGCCAGTAACTGTTTGTACATTACTATTGTTTATGATAGGTTTGATGATGATATACCAATGCAAGCCTGTGAACTATACGGTATTCACAAGACAGAAGATGTTACAAGAGAGGCAGTATTTGAGTGTCCTGATGTCAATGTTAGTGATACTGCTATTTATGAAGAAACATAACTAATGAAACAGTAAAAGCTAACAGTATACAGTAATTAAAGTTTAATATACCTTTACACTGTGTGACATGTTTTAGTTCTAGAGTTCACTGTATTCATAATGCTAATAGTTTAGTCTATTATAGTTTAACTTTTATGATTATATCGCCATTTTTTGTTGCAGCACTTCTGTTGTAACTACTTTCAATGTCCTTATATCAATTCTAATGCTTGCAGTGTGTTTATTCTATTGATGTTATCTAATCAATTTACAAGTAAACAAATGATATAGATCTATGACACAATAACAGAAATTGCTGCATAAAGAAAGTTCCTATAACTATAGGAACCTCTGTCAAGTCGTGTGATGCAAATTAGAAGTTTTGTGTATGATAGCTCACACGCTGATACTAAACTACGGCAGTATACACAGTCCAAGCTATTACCGGTACTTTACTAATATATACTCTACCAATCTCTTTTCTCACCTGTTCCTTTCTCTCTTTGATTTTTCATCTTTCTACTTGTTTTTATGTAACTTGATCAGCATACAGTTTGCCTTTTAAACTTTTGTATAGACTCCAATGTGTTGTTCTTATCTATTTATATGTTATCTTATTTTTATGATTTTGATGTGTAATAATATGATTTTTAATCATTATTGTGTACAGAAACAACTTTATGATAATCCTAGACCATGCTCCCTTACATCACCATCTCTCTCCAATGTAAGCTGATTATAAATACTTATAAATGTCATGAATGCATTAGAATCCTGTTAAACCCTTTGAAGTATGGAATGACCATACATGTAGGGTAGACTATATTGAGAGTAGTGTTAGCTGGACTGTAGTTCATATAAAAACTGTTAGAAATAGCTAGCCAGTCACCTCTCAGACTATTGGTCTACAGAATAGTCAGAAAGTGGAGTGGAATAAGTTTACCTAATGTATTTATAAGTATTGTAAGGAGTTTATTTAGAGAGTATGAGTTGTAATAATGCATGATTGATGATGTCACTGGGAGAGTACAGACAACGCAACAGGTATGGATTATAGTGATACATCATTTGATGTCACACTCTCA